TGAGTGGGAGAGTGTACCAAGGTGTCCTGGAGTTGATGTCAGGGACCTGGGGTCATGGTTTGGGGTAATCTGGGATGGAGGTGTAGGAAATCCTAGGATTGGGGTGTAAGGTGTACAGGGACCTAAGGTCACAGTGTGAACAGGCTCAGGTATCCAGGTCATTAGGAATGGGGTATTGAGGTCTGCATTGGGAACATGGCAGAAAGTGAGTGCTCTCTGCTGCGCCCCTGACCTGCCACTGCCCCACTCCCTCACCCTGGCCCGCAGAGACAGACGAGTGCCGACTGAACCAGAACATCTGTGGCCACGGAGAGTGCATCCAAGGCCCCTCCGGCTACTCCTGCCATTGCAACCCGGGCTACCGGTCGCACCCGCAGCACCACTACTGCGTGGGTGAGAAGGGGCGTGTGGGTGGCACGGGGGCGGCCATGGCTCACAAGACCCCTTTGACGTCTCCCCGCTCGCGCCTCCTTCTCAGACGTGAACGAGTGCGAGGCAGAACCGTGCGGCGCTGGCAGGGGCATCTGCATGAACACCGGCGGCTCCTACAACTGCCACTGCAACCGCGGCTACCGCCTGCACGTGGGCGCCGGGGGGCGCTCGTGCGTGGGTGAGCAAGGCCGGAGCCGGGACCGCGCCGGGGCTGAGTGCATGGGGGGGGGGGCTCTCCTCCTGACCACAGCGGAATCCCCTCCGCTGTCCCTTGCACTCCGCTCGCGCCCCCTTCCTCCCGCTCAGACCTGAACGAATGCGTCAAGCCCCACCTGTGCGGCGACGGCGGCTTCTGCATCAACTTTCCTGGCCACTACAAGTGCAACTGCTACCCTGGCTACCGGCTCAAAGCCTCCCGACCGCCCCTGTGCGAAGGTGCGGGAGACGCCATCCAGACCGACGGGGATCCTCAGCTGTCCCTTGACCTGGGGTGGGGGCGGAGAGCCTGAACTCTCTTTGCCCAGCTCAGAGCCTCTTAGAGGTTGGGGTCCGGGAGCCCAGAGGGGCTGGTTTGCCTTGTTGCTCTGTGACGGAGAGAGGCCCTGCCGAGGACCCTGAGTGCCTGGCTGGCCATGTTGTCCCTAAACGGGTCTTCCTCCCTCCCGCGCAGACATCGACGAATGCAGAGACCCTAGCTCCTGCCCGGATGGCAAATGCGAGAACAAACCCGGGAGCTTCAAGTGCATTGCCTGTCAACCCGGCTACCGCAGCCAGGGGGGCGGGGCCTGCCGCGGTGAGGCGGGGGGTCCCTAATAGGATAGAGGGCGGGGCTTCGGGGGCAAATAAAAGGGGCCGGTTGCGGAGTTGCCCCCAAGATGGGGTAGAGTCGGCACCGGCCTAGGCGAAGGCAGGGATAGTGGCCGTGAGAGTCCCCTCGAGGGTGGTGCCTCCAGGGAATAGAGATTCCCCCCCATCTCGGGAAGAGGGGACCCCCCATATCTGCACAGTCCGAGCCAAGCCTTCTTCTCCGCAGACGTGAACGAGTGTGCCGAGGGCAGTCCTTGCTTGCCCGGCTGGTGTGAGAACCTCCCAGGCTCTTTCCGCTGCACGTGCACCCAGGGCTACGCTCCAGCACCGGATGGCCGCAGTTGCCTGGGTGAGCTCCAGCCCTCCCCCGCAATGCCACCTGTTACCCACTCACGCACCGGAAGGTGGGGACTGGGTCACCCGGTCTCTCAGACGGTTGTGCAGGAGGTAGCTAATTCACCCCTCGGTTCACTGATCTATTCACTCATTTTCTGAACGAACCCGAGGAAGGGCCACCAGACTTTCAACGTAGGACGTCTTAGGAAGCAAAGCTTGAAGATGCGTTTGCAAAGCACATTAAATTCGAAGAAAAAAAAAAGATATAAAAGCAGGATGGGTGGGGGGGTGAGTAGTCCCAGTTACATTAATGTTTCTTATGCGCCAGAGGCCCCCTGGGGGCTGGGATATCAAAAACTGGGGAACAGGAGACTAGAGCGCAGGGCTTTTTGGAATGGAATTTGGGTACTCCTGGGAAACACCAGTGGGGCTAGGAAGAGGAGAGGCCTGAATTGTCTTAAAAGATCAATGGGAATTAGCCAAGCAAAGAAAGGTGAGAGGAATAGCACGCCAGGCAGAGGGCTCAGCATATGGTGGACTCAGGTGAAAAACAGCGCAGAGTGTGCTGGGAATTGTAAGGTACTAGCAGTGGATGGGGGCTGAGGCTGGCTAGTGAGGGGCAGGTCCCCATCCCTTGGAGGGTTCCCTAAGCACACCACCAGGAGGTTAAGCTTCATCTGAGGGTGTTATGAGGCACCTGAAGCATTTTAAAGGGAGTGACAAGATTCACCAATTGCTCTAGAAAGTTCCCTGATGCCAAATGTGGAGAATGACTGGAGGTCTGTTGGAGAGACTCAAGGCAGAGACATTGGTGGATGCGAGGAGAGTAGTGGCCTCAGGATGGTCATGAGATAATGTGATATTAGAGGAAATTACCTTGTTATCTGGATGTCCAGGTGAGGGAGACAGGCAAACGAGGGACCCTCCAGGTTTCTGGTTTGGGTCACTCAGTCGGTGGTGCTGTTCACTGGGATAGGGTCCCCAAGAGTGGGGCATGTATGAGAAGGAAGACACTAAGTTTCATGTTGGATGAATTGAATGGGTGGCCCCTGTGGGCCTCTTGGGTGGACATGCCAGCAGATGGTGAGCCATAAGTTGGAAGCCTTGGGGCAGACATGCCCACCCGGAACTGTGGACTGTGGGGGCTATCGAACTTTTGGGTGCACCTGCTCAGCCAAGGAGGGGGGACCAGTGAGGGAAGACTTGGAAGAGCCTTGGAGACACTGCCACATAAGTGGCAGGCAGGGGAATAGGAGCGGGAGGGGTGGTAAGAGGGCTCAGGGAACACTAGCCAAGAAGCTGGGTAGGGGAGGCTTCCAGGGCAGAGGTGGATGAGCTAAATGCAATAGAGAGGTTCTTGTAAAATAAGGTCCCTGGTGGCCTTGACTGGGTGGCTTCTGTGGCATGATGGGACCAGGAGATGCAGGCAGCACATGAGGAAGAGAGAGCTGGGGTCACTGGATGGGGTTAAGGCTGTAGGCTGAGGAGATGCCAAGAAGGTGGATGAGGGGATAACAGGGGCAGCTGGGAGAGGAGCAATGGACAGGAGAAGGGACAACGCTTGCTCTAACAGGACCAAGAAGGGAATGGATGTAGATAGTGATTTTTAGGAGGTTAAAAGTGATTACCGGGCTGGCCGAGTGGCTCAGTTGGTTAAGAGCTCACTCAAGAGTTTGAGCTCTGAGCAACAGCGGTTCGAGTCCAGCCTGAGCTGAGCAGCCGCTGAGCTGCCAACAGGTAGCAGGATGGCTCAGCTAAAAAAAAAAGTGATTACCGTAATTCTCTCAATAAACAGTAAAGGGCCTGAGTTGAGTAGGGGACTTGAGGAGAACAGTCAAGGTTTGGAACTGCCCTAGGGACTGGTCCGAAGTCAAGGCTTGAGAGGAGGGGAGAGGATGGCACTAGCCACACTGAGGATCTATATGGCCAGGCTGGAGGCCAGAGCGAGTGGCTGTGGCCCAGTGTGTTCAGCTTGGTGGCTGGCTCCAGCCGGACCCAGCACCCAGGATCCAGAGGCCTAGAGGCAGGCCATGGCTCTGACTTTGCCAGACATGAAGAGGGAAGAGAGGTGTTCACGGGCCTCTGCAAGAGAAGGTGGAATGGGGGACTTGAGAACAGCTGAGGCAGTGGGAAGGAAGCAGCATCTGAGGCATGTCCAAGGTAGGGCCGATCCCAGCCCTTTGTCCCAAAAGCAAGTGGCTGGCATTGAGGTGAAGGTCATGGGAACTGAGGGATCAAGGAATGTAAGGTCAGAGGCTGGGCCTGGCCGTCCACATGGATGTTGAAAACTCCTAGGATGGGGAGGAAGACAGAGGGAGAGGGATTAGGAAGGTGTGTTCTGACAGCAATAGAATAGAGAAGGTGGAGGCTGGTATGGGGCCAAGGGCACCTCCGAGGAAGAGCATGGCTTGGAAGGGGTCTAGAGTGTGGGCAACAACCAGCTTCCAACAGAAAGGACTCCGGAGAAGCATATTCTCAAGGGGAGCCAAGTTCCTTTACTGCACAAGCAAAAGAAATTACTCTGTGAGGACAAAGACATAGGGAAGCTTATTTACATGGGAAGAAAGGGAGCCATGGCAGGTGAGAGTGAGAGCAGAAAGTGAGAGCAGCTGGGGCAAGGAAGCCCAGGGCAGCAGGGGAAGCGGGGACGCAGGAGGGTGCCTCTTGTTGGGCGAAGACGAATGAAGGAGCGGGAGGCCTGAGCTCTTTGGAATCAGACACGGCCAGGGTCCCTGGCAGCACCTGGCCTAGTCACCAGGGCATGGTGTGACACACGGGAGGGGGTGAGGGTCCCATGCGTCTCTTAAGCTCCACTGGCCTTCATGCTTGTGCTCCAGGCATGGGCAGGAGTGGGAAAAGGGTAGCAAAGGCTCTAGACCCCCCACACACACACCTTGATCCTGACCCTCAGATACTCCATGTGTCCTGCAGATGTGGACGAGTGTGAGTCTGGGGATGTGTGTGACAATGGCATCTGCACCAACACACCAGGCTCCTTTCAGTGTCAGTGCCTCTCTGGCTATCATCTGTCAAGGGACCGGAGCCGCTGTGAGGGTAAGGGGGGCCTAGAGCTGGGGGGCTGACCTGTTCCTCCCTACCCTAGGACCTCCACTGCCCAGACCCCAAGTCCAGAAGCTAACTGTAAACAAGCCGGGCACTCCCATGTCTAGCCCCCATCGAGATCTAAGATGGGACATGGGGTGTAGGCCCCACCTGGGGCTCTGTGGGAAGCCCTGGCAGCCTCAGACTGTGTGAGGGGGTCAGCCCCTGAGATTCTCCACCTCTTTGATCCCGTACAGACATTGATGAGTGTGACTTCCCAGCAGCCTGCATTGGGGGTGATTGCATCAACACCAATGGCTCCTACCGATGTCTCTGTCCCCAGGGGCACCGGCTGGTAGGGGGCAGGAAGTGCCAAGGTATGAGGGTACTGGGTGTGAACCCCTGAGGAGGAATGGCAGGGAGCAGTAATCTCCTAGACACACTGTTGATCTGTCTTTCCATCTATCCGTCCACTCAGCCATCCTTCCACTCTTTCACCTAGAATAACAGTAACAGTAACAATAATTACATGGTGCCTACTATGTGCCAACTCACCCTTACATGCATTCATCTAACAAGAGTTTACTGAGATCCTACTATTTGCCAGATGCTATACTATGTACTAGATATTGAGCAATGACCCGGGGCTCCCAGCTAGGGGGCTGACATATAAACTGATCCTTACAGTTCAGGGTTCTGGGTGCCAAAAGAGGTTTGGACTAGTGATTAATTGCAATGGAGAGGTGACAGTGCATCCCAACTTGAAGCATAAATAGGTTCCCTAAAGCATAAATAGGTTCTCTAAGAAGAGAGAAGTAAGGGATGGTATTTCAGGCCCAAAGAACGGTATTTGCAAAGCACAGAGATTTGGAAGGAGCTGGTTGTTTTTAGGGGAGAGTAGACACCTGTGCCCTAAACATAGAGTTGAGGTTGTTGGTGGTTTAGAGTAAAGGGTGATAAGACTTACAGATATTGAGAGACCAAACTGAAAAGCTCTCAAATGCACAGCTGAGAATTAGGACTTCATTCTGTTGTCAGTAGGAGCCATTAAAGGTTCTATGAAGAATACTGTAGCGAATGTGGACTATCTGCTCACAATAACTGCAAATTCACTTCCAGGATTCATAGTCTCCCTATGTTCACACACCTACCCACATGCAGGCAAACACGAATGGAATTCCTATTGTATGTACTTTGAAATCAAAGTGGAAATTCGGGTTCTGAACTTGTGAGAGGCCCTTGAGGCTCACCCCCAGGAAAAGAGGGGCTTGTTTCCCTCTGAGCAGCTTTTCCTGCTCCCTTCACTCCCTGCAGACATAGATGAGTGTAGCCAGGACCCAGGCCTATGCCTTCCCCACGGGGCCTGTGAGAACCTGCAGGGCTCCTATGTCTGTGTCTGCGATGAGGGCTTCACGCTCACCCAGGACCAGCATGGATGTGAGGGTAAGTGTCTTGGGGCTCTTTTCTCTGACCAAACAACCCCTGAGCTGCAGCTGGGATTCAGAGACGTATCCTGGTCCCACCTCTTGAATTTTGGGAACAGGAAGAGATCTCTTTTGCCTGGGAAAGTCTGGTGGGGCCAAACCTGGCAGAAGGGCCTTGAATGCCACATTGAAGATGGCCCGCACTAGGCAGCTTTGGGGGTCCAGGCAATGTGGGAGATCAGAGGGATGCCGTTGGTGGGCAGTGTGGACAGGCAGAGATAGTCTGCAGGACTCTGAGCTGCCCTCCTCTCTCTTCAGAGGTGGAGCAGCCCCACCACAAGAAGGAGTGCTACCTTAACTTCGATGACACGGTGTTCTGCGACAGTGTACTGGCCACCAATGTCACCCAGCAGGAGTGCTGCTGCTCACTAGGGGTTGGCTGGGGAGACCACTGCGAGATCTATCCCTGCCCAGTCTACAGCTCAGGTCAGAAGCCGGCAGGCCCTTTTCCTTCCTAGAGCCTCAGTTTCTTCATTAGGAAACGGAATGGGGGAAATGGCCCCTCCCTGGGTAGGTGGGAAATGAGTCAGAGAGCTCCGACTTGAGCCCGCCGGCCAGCACGCTCGCGCTCATCCTCCCTCCTTCCCCTCTTCCCCTCCCGCTCTCTCCTTGCAGCTGAGTTCCACAGCCTCTGCCCAGACGGGAAGGGCTACACACAGGACAACAACATTGTCAACTACGGTATCCCAGCGCACCGTGGTAAGTCCCCACACGGCTCCGCCCACCAAGGTTTGGACCGCCCCCGTCCCTGCCCCGCCCGCGCAGCCATCATTTGCCCCGCCTCTCAACTGAGCCCCACCCCCATCACTCAACCACCTACGAAAAAGCCTCAAACACTAAGTTTGCTCCGCTCCCGCCGAAAGCTCCACTTACATGTTCTGGACTTGCCGGGCCTCAGTGGCCCTGCAGGTAGAGGACGCTGGGCGTCCAATATTTATCACTCCGCAGACATCGACGAGTGCATATTGTTCGGGGCGGAAATCTGCAAGGAGGGCAAGTGCGTAAATACACAGCCGGGCTATGAGTGCTATTGCAAGCAAGGCTTCTACTACGACGCGAACCTGCTGGAGTGCGTGGGTGAGTGCAGTCAGCCCCCGCGGCCGTGGGAAAGCGGCCGGGAGATACGCACAATTCCCGGCTGGTTGCTCCCACTCGCGCTTTTCCTCCAGACGTGGATGAGTGCTTGGACGAGTCCAACTGCCGGAACGGAGTGTGTGAGAACACGCGCGGCGGCTACCGCTGCGCCTGCACGCCCCCAGCGGAGTACAGCCCAGCGCAGCGCCAGTGTCTGAGTCCGGAGGAGATGGGTGAGGCCCGGGCCTGCTGGCTGGGGAAACAGGAGGGCAGGGGCCCAAGCTGAGCTGTAACCGCCACCCCCACCCATCTCCTCGCTGCCCGTAGACGTGGACGAGTGCCAGGACCCTGCAGCTTGCCGCCCTGGCCGCTGCGTCAACCTCCCTGGCTCCTACCGCTGCGAGTGCCGCCCGCCCTGGGTGCCTGGGCCCTCCGGCCGCGATTGCCAGCTCCCGGAAAGCCCGGCCGGTGAGGGCAAGGGTCGTCCCGAGCTAACTCCAAGGCCCTGTCTGCCGTATGGAGCTCTGGGCGTGCAGCCTCTGCAGATGGGTTGGAGCGCAAACGGGCAGTCCTTGATTTGGGCTCCTCCCTGACGCCGGGTCCCCCTCCGCAGAGCGTGCCCCGGAGCGGTGGGACGTGTGCTGGGGCCAGCGCGGAGAGGACGGCATGTGCGCGGGCCCTCTTGCTGGACCCACCCTCACCTTTGACGACTGCTGCTGTCGCCAGGGCCGCGGTTGGGGCGCCCAATGCCGCCCGTGTCCGCCGCGCGGTTCTGGTGAGCCAGCAAGGGAAGGGTTGGCTCAGAGGGAGTATGGGAGCGGGAGCCCGGTGCGTCGACCACGCTGATCACTGACTGGCCCCTCCCAGGGTCCCAGTGCCCGACATCGCAGAGTGAGAGCAATTCCTTCTGGGACTCGAGCCCCCTGCTGCTGGGGAAGCCCCCGAGAGGTGAGTGTAGTGGGAGGCGACAGAGGCCGGGTTGTGGCCATCGCTGGGGGCAGTGATGACGTCTGTGTTCTCCCGGGCGGCTCAGAAGAGGATAGCTCGGAGGAGGATTCAGACGAGTGCCGCTGCGTGAGTGGCCGCTGCGTTCCGCGGCCAGGTGGCGCAGTGTGCGAGTGTCCCGGCGGCTTCCAGCTTGACGCCTCCCGCGCACGCTGCGTGGGTAAGCCGGGCCACGGGGGGGAAGCCAAGGGGACCGATCCGCTCTGGGGACCGGGGCCTGCGGGACCAGAAGCAAGGGGGCTGCACGGCTCTGGCGCCCTCGCTAAGTCCACACCTGTCACCCCCATCTCCACCTCCAGACATAGACGAGTGCCGAGAGCTGAACCAGCGCGGGCTGCTGTGCAAGAGTGAGCGCTGCGTGAACACGAGCGGTTCCTTCCGCTGCGTCTGCAAAGCCGGCTTCGCGCGCAGCCGCCCGCACGGGGCCTGTGTGCCCCAGCGCCTCCGCTGACACCATCCTGGGCCGGACCTTGGTGATCACCCAGCGCTGGGGCAAACTCAGCCTCTCGCTTCTGCCAGGACTCGGGGCTCCGACCCAGGGACTCTTCTGGCCCATAAACCCCTTCCAGAGCCCCATGTCCCGAAGAAGCCCATCGGCTACACCTGGTTTACAAGCGGAAATTGGGTCTCCTGGGCGCTGCAGGCCTTTCTCCCAGAGGGCGTTTCCTAGAAACTGATAAATCAGATCGTGCCTCTTTACTCTTGGCTTTCAAAGCAAATTGATGTTCACCTCCATAGTGGGTGCGAACTCCACAGGGCAGCGCCAGACCTCAGCCTCCTTGGAGGGGCTAGACTGAGCCCAGCACAGGGGGTGTGAAATAGAATTTATTGTGGCTCTGATTATGTACATATGAGATGTGCCTGGCCGGGCTGGCCGGACTCGCATCGTTTGTACAATAAATACATCCGCGGGGCCTACTCTCCGTGGCCGGGAAGCACCCACACCAAAGGTTCAGTCCAGCTTCCGAGTCCCCAGCTTCATGGGTCCCTTAGCTGCCTTCTTCTCAGCACGTTTGGCCTCCATCTCCCTCCGACGCTCCTCACGCTTCTTCCGGGCCAGCTCAGCCTTCACCTGCCCTGGAACAGGAAGGGGAGGCAGGCTGAGGGCATCAGGATGACCTGGGTCTCGCCTTCCCAGCCATGCCTGCTGGAGGGATGGGATGGGGATTGCTCTAGTCCATCAGCCCTCCCAGGGAAAACACTTACGGCTCTCAGTCTCCAGGCCCTCCCAGTTGTCATCGCCCCATGAGTCGGGTCTTGGCTGAAAAGAGAAGCATGGGCTGCTGGAGTGGAGGCCAGCGCCCAGCCGATGCCCACCCTAGATCTGCACCCTCCCACTGGACTGGTGCCCAGTACCTGGGTGCCAGTCTCCCGACGTGCTGACAGGCTAGCAAAGGGGTCGCCTTTGTCACTAGGCTCCTGTCCACCCCAGTTATACTCGCTGGCAGGCCGTGTGCCCTCAGGGGGTGGGTCCTGGGAGCTAGGCTCCTGCCAGCCCTGCTCCCATGAGCCTTCAGCTTCCCAGCTGCTCCAGTCTGACTCGGGGGACTTGTGGTCGGGGTTCATGGTCTGCAGAAAAGAAGGGGGAGGTAGCGCCAGACAGGGAGGGAGAGGCCAGGCCCCACTTTCCATGTATACACACACCCGTGTCCCCCACCCAGCTCACCTGGCCAACTCGGCTGGCTTGGCTCCCAGTACTCCAGTCGTCCTGCTGGGCTAATACAGACTCAGCCTCCTGCTGCAGTAGGAAGGAGAGCACAACCATAGACCCCCGCACCCCCCACCCAAAAGGACAAGGAAGCCCCCCAGCCCCTTCCCAGCCACGGGCTCCACCCTCTCCTTCTTTTGTTTTCCATCTCATTTGCTCCTGAGGCCCTGTTTCCCATCTATAAAGTGGACCTGCTGAACCTGGCCTGCCATCACTCCTCTATGAGGCTGGGAATGTGGTGTAGAGTTCTAAACCGCTCCGTGTAGCCTCGGGAGCCAAAGACTGCTGTCAGCCAGATGGGGAAACTAAGCCCAGAACTCTGCCCCCATTTCCTTCAGGACAGCTCCACTCCATCCTCAGCTGGTCCTGAGCCCAGCTCCCACGAAGGACTGGTCTGGTTCTAGGCCTGTGAGTGGCCTCTCCTTGCTGACCACTGAGGCTGGCTAGGCATTGGAGCAGGTGGAAGAGAGATGGAGTGGTCGAGGAGGAGGATCAGTGTGCTGCCCCAACTGGCAACTGCTCCCAGGGGCCCCTGGAGTTGAGCGGGGGCTCAGCTGCCAGCTCTGGTCCACAATGGTCACTCCATGATGCCTACTCACCAGGGATGCTGTGCAGATGAGGACAAGCCTGACTCCAGCCAAGCCCACACAAGCTCCTTGAATGGCAGCCTGTGACCTTTGAGCTGGGGTCCCCTGGGGAGGCCCCCTCAGCCCACTCACCTCTAAGCTGCCCCAGTCTTCATCATCCCATCTGTCAGCAGCACTGCTGTCCTCTGCTGTGTCCTTCTGCTCCTCTTGTGTCTCCCAGTGGCTTGAGGTCACGGGTGTGGCAGGGACAGGGGTCGGGGGGGCCGGGGCAGGAAGTCCTGAGAAGCAGAGGCTCACTGAGTACCCATACACTGGTTCCCAGGAAAGTCTCGGAACCGGGAAGAGGTTGCTGGGAGAGAGGGGGGCTCAAGAGGGGACTAGACTCTATCCCATCCCCTATGTCCCCATCATGACCCCAGGGAGTGCCATATAATAACAGACCCTGGGTGCCAGCACCCCCAAGCCCTCAGTCATTGATTCAGCCAGTCTGGGACACTCACCCTCGGGCATTGGTCTCTGGGGGACGTTGGTCTCAGCCGGGGTAGCTGTGGGGTGTGCACGGATCAGCTTGGAGGTGAGTGAAGAGACCCCCGTTACAGCCCAGCCTGCCCAGCTGGCTGCGGCTCCTCCCATTCCAGGGCTGGAGGCTGCATGGACGTCCTTTTCTAGGCAGTGACAGGAGAGAGAGACAGGTATAGACGCCTCAGGCATCCATGAGGAAGGTGATAGGAGGGCAATAACTGAAACAGAGCGACCTGTAGTGAGCCCCGCTTCTCCCAGCCTGTGTCTCCCATATATAAGATGGGGAGTGGGGGAAGTGTCAGTCTACTCTCTAAGGCTCTTCCAGCTTTCAGATACTCCAGTGAGGCGGAAGGGGGCCATGACAGGTGATAGTCAAGGATGTGGCAGGAGGAAGAGGGAACGTGAATATGGGCCACTCACCCACTTCAGTCAGCTGGGTGGGGTCCTCTGACACAGACTCCAGTTTGGACAGGAAACTTCGGATGGCCTTGAAGGCCTGTGGGGTAGCAAGGGGCAGGGCTGGGGCCTCCAAGGTTCCTGTGAGCCCGCCAGGCCAGCTTGGGCCCAGCCATCCCCCAGTGCCCCAGCTCCAGAGCCAGGCTCCAGCTGTGCCTCACCTGGTCCCGCACGGATTTCTCGGGATCCACAGTGAGGCCACAGAGCACAGGCAGGATCTTGTGGGCGCAGTCACTCACTGAATAGAGGTTATGGGTGGCAGCAAAGCCCAGGACACCCGCGACCCGGGATGGTGCAAATGGGTCCTTAGTGGCCCGGCTGAAGGCGGAGGTGAGGACCCTGTGTCTGGTCTGGGGTGGGGCAGGGGAGAGGGCTCCTGAGTTGGAGGGTCAGTCCTGGGGCCCAGAACTGACAGGCCTCACTTCCCAAAGCAGAGGCCGTCCACAGGGCCCCCCAAGTCTGAAAATGTGTTATTCACTAACAAAGGGGGAGAAATTACTTGAAACTCTGGATCTTGACTTCGTCCCAGATCACTGGGCTCACGCTGCCTCACAGCGACAGGGACAGAGCAGCAGCTGCCCTGGGGTTAGGGCCTGTGCCTCCCTTCCCATCTGTCCCACTGACCCGTTTCATTCATTCCTGTTAACTTTCTGGGCACTGCAGGCGTCAGAATTTACAAACGTTGGCTGAGAGGATGCACACAGACCGTGGGGTCAAGCAGTCCTGGGTTCAGTTCCCAGCTACTGGCTGTGTCACGTGGTGCAACTCAATCCACCCCTTAGACACTGGGGTTGGGA